AGGAAGCAGAGCCACCAGAGGAAGCGGAGCCAGAGGAAGCGGAGCCGGAGGAAGCGGAGCCGGAGGAAGCGGAGCCGGAGGAAGCAGAGCCACCAGAGGAAGCGGAGCCAGAGGAAGCGGAGCCGGAGGAAGCAGAGCCACCGGAGGAAGCAGAGCCGCCGGAGGAAGCGGAATCACCGGCAGAGCCAGTGGGAGCAGCACCGGAGGGAACAGAGACAGCCTCGGGAGCGGTGGGAACGTTGCCGTTGGGAGTTCCGGTAGGGGAGGCACCAGAGGGAACAGAGCCGCTGGGGACGCTGGAGACGGAGCCGCTGGGAATGCCGGAAGGAGTGGGCACAGCAGAGACAGAAGGAACACCGGTAACAGAGCCGGCGGGAGTTGAAGGAAGGGTGGGGACACCATTCTTGGTAAAGCTGGAGCCGCTGGGGAGGTGGCCACAGCCAGTAAGCCATCCGATGAGGATAATTTCAATGCTGGAGTCGATTTCGATGCCGGCGGCACCACCAAGGATAGCAGCCAGCTGAGCACGAGCGTCAAGAGACAGGGAGGCCATGCTCTCGCCGGAGACCAGGATAGAAATAACGCCGCGGAAAACAGCGCCAAGAGTAGCCTCGATAGTACCAGTAATGAATGAAGTAAGCTCGCCAAGGAGACCTGTGGACACGCTGACGGAGACATCGGCCTCGAGAGCGAACGAAAGCCAGAACAGAACAACAGCCTTGAGCTCAGCGCCGAGCGAGCAGCTGGAGCTGGTGAGCCAGGCGACGAGAGCGGTACGAACTTCAACATCAACGGAGACGGCGGCACCGCCCTTGGCGCAAGCCTCGAGGGCGGCCTGAACGTGGGCATCAAGACCGGCGGAAATGTCGGCTTCGAGGAAGGCGGCGAGAGAAGCCTGGGCGCTGGCGGAGAGGATGCCAGTCTCCTCAACAAGGGCGACGACGGAAGCACCGGCAGAGATCGTTGCCAGACCACTGCCGGGCAGAGAGCCAATGGCAATGACGTCGGCACCAACCTTACCCTCCAACCAAGCCAAAACGGCAACCTTCAGAGAAGCGGACAGGGTGCATTCGGAACCGGCGAGCCAGGCCTTCAGGGCGGCCTGAACATCGGCGGCGAGGTCGACAAAGACACCGCCGCCAGCACAAAGGCTGAGACCAGCCCTAACCTTGGCATCGAGAGCAGCATCAACAGACGCAGAGAGGAATGCGGACAGAGAAGCCTGGGCGGAAGCGCTCAGGACAACATTTGCGGCGACCTCGGCGGAGGAGAAGATACCCTCAAGGGTAACAAAGAGGTCGCCCTTGGCGGCGATGTCAGCGCAAGTGGGGATCAGCACTGACAGTCCGGCGCAGACATCCACGGAAAGGGTCACGGAGGCGTCACCTTCACACCACTCGAGAAGGGATGCCTTGACGGATGCATCAAGGAAGGCGGCGGCCTCAGCACGGAGCCAGGCGGCCAGTTCAGCCCTGGCGGCGGCATGGATCGCACCGGCCTTGCAACCAAGAGCACCTCCCTGCAGGGCAGCGGCTGCCTGAGCACTCAGACCAGCAAGGAGAGTCGTGGTGCTTGCGTGTCCACCAAGGATAGCGCTGATGAGCGCGCTCAAATCGAGACCACCATCGATCGAAATCCCCGCGCCGATGGAGAGATCACCGATATCGACGTCAGCGCCCAGCTTCAGGTGACGGGTCTCCACGTCGGTGGGAAGAGCGAGGACGTAGCTCGCCAGACTGGCGAGCAGGAAAAGGTTGTTAGAACGCATTGTGTGAGCGTAATAGAGATGCTAACGAGTGTCTTGCTAGGTAATAGAATGAATGTATCCTAAGAGAATGACGAGGCTACGAATAGCCGAATCGGATAATGTACTATCTCTAGCTATCAGAAATGACATTGCAGCAGATGTTCAATAGTTCCCCTGGACTGGCAAAGAGCAACCTTGAAAAGACTAAAGATCTGGGACAGCGCTGAGAATATGACCCAGAATGAAAGGCAGCTACATGCCCGTAGTCAAAGTATGTGTCTACAATATTATCGACATTGTCGTAAAGTCCGTATACTGTTGTCTACATTGGCTCCATGTGACACGGTTATTTTGCTTCGCCGGTGAGGAAGCATGGGGGTGTCCAAGAGTTCCTAAACCCGAAACAAGGAGCCCTTGGCGAGAGAGTGCCAGGGTCTTGATTAGTCGATGTCACACCACATTATCAATCAGATAAGATAACCCACTTGCCGGGAATCTCCGTCTTGGGCCTCTTGGCATTCCTGCTGGAGTCTAGGCTGAGGTAGGCAGAGACAGGCCACCACCAGCTGCTAGAGCTAGACATTTCTTTAAAGACAAATGGACAATACCGCCAATACGCGTGGTGTCCTGTCCCTGGGTGCGTTATTTACAAACGCCCGCCTAGGCCCACACCCCGAGCCGTCCCATAAGGTAGTGAACGAACCCAATCCTCACTCTCACTCCCCGCTGGCCCCCAAAGTCCAAAGACGGGAAAGTCTTGGCCGAGTTTTCGAGGATTGTCGAACTTTTGTTAAAAGCAGAGTGAAATCGAATTGTATTAAGCGTTTCTTGAAAAACATTTTTTACACACGCTCATTACCCAGACGAAAAAAGGTTAGTTGTATTTTATGGTCTCGATCCCCTTGTCCGTTTGACAGGAGGTGCCAACTCTAGCCCTGGTTCATTTATGGCCTGAGCTTAGTAACCAGACTGTCCTGCATTTTGACAAATTGAGATGCTGCAGGTTTGCTGTTTCCTACATATGACCCTGTTATCATTCTCTTGGTTCCGTAGGTTCATCTTTGCCATTCTAATGTCCGATCATCGGAGGATTCGCAGGGTACCATCCAGTTCAGAATTTGCAAGCGATGGGGTGATTAGATTTTCTGGAGTCGTACATGAATGGTCTCGTGAGAGTTGCAAGCAGCAAAAGTTTTGGACAAAAATCAAGTTCTGCACACCAGACGCTGGTGGAGGTTCACTACGACTGGTGGAAAGGCCAGTCCTCAAAGAACATGGTCAGGCTTCGGCTCAACGAGCACGACATCACGCTCGTGTGATCCTCCCCTTCATACTCAGTTTTTATCACGGCATGTAGCTGGCTGCACCCTTGCAGCATCGCACACAGATCCAGAGCGTTGCCTGCCATTCTCAAATCCGCTGCGGTTTGTTTCCTCGCTTCATAGTGATCAAGCGGCTCGTTAGCCCACTGCAGTGGGTTTTGCTCCAAGGAACCCCAGGAAACCATCAATGACCGGGATTTGTCATCTGACACCTTCTCGTTTTCCACAAAGGCCCTTGCCTCGTGCAAGATACATAAACTATTCCACCAGATTGAGGGGCTGCTAGCCATGTAGCAATCGAAGGAACGAGGGCGCGTGAATAATGCATGAAGTGCGAGCAAGCCCCCGTATGAATGGCCATAGAGTGCTTCTCTGGCGAGAGTCACCCGTGGGAATCGGGTCTTCACCGCAGGTCGAACAGAATTCTCAATAAAGTCAAGGAATAGATCTGCACCTCCATATCCGGGGATTTTGGACGCTGTGAGAGGAGTCAGATCGAGACTGCGTCGTCGGGCATCGTAGAGCTTTCCGTTTAAGGGGTATCCAATAGCGACAATGATGCCTCCGCCAGCAAAATGTGAGGCGGCCGCACGACGCCACGCAGCTTCGGTCGCAGTCAGGAACAATGCATTCCCGTCAACAAGGTAGCTAGTTCAAGTAGGTAAGCCGACGCATCCTCGCAGGATCCTAGGCTATCTGTGAGCGCTTACATGATAGGAAGGGCCCCGCGACCAGTCTGCTTATCCTCCCAATGCAGTGGCCAAGATACTTGGACAAGGTACGTTTCACCCTGGTCGCTTTCCAGGTAGAACTGCTCCGAGTTGGGAAGCTGGACTGGGGTTGGCCTGTTCCCCATTTTGACTGTTTTACCCATTTAAAAACCGAAGCCCTGCGAGACGGTCTGGGAGAAAACACAATACATCCCCAATTATGGTACAAGAGACTACGATTGCGCGGGAAGGGGATTTCGTCTTATGAGACCGGTCCAAGGGTACATTTGGAGAGGTAACAGCAACAGGCGCGTCTCAGGGATTCCCCTGTAAGGCCCGATTTCGCAATTCCACTCCGAGACATGGCTCCACCGGGGCTTTACTAGCTGCCTGCTGGGGGCTTACTTTACGGCGTAAAATTGCCATGCAAAATTACCTTACTAGCATCGCAGAATAGACCAATACACTAGTGAGTCCCTGGCCCAATCGGAACTATTCATCATGCTAGTGATCCATCGAAACCGGAAACCCTAATCTGATCAAAGAATTATCAATCGTATCACGTCGGACCAACAGCATGCGCCTCTCACCCCGCCGCTGTTGGCATGATCTGATAGCATCCAAACCGATATAAAGTACCGGCCTCGGCTCGAAATCTTTCCGATACCGGCTTAGCATTTCGAAAGGAACCGTAAGGTCTGGTGGAGACTTGCTCCTCTGTGGTCGCGATGACAGAAGGAGGCGGCAGCGGCGCTAGGTATACACCTTGGCAACAGAATCGGTAGCTATACTTACACGGGCTTCTTAGTTCGCATTTCTTGCAACATCTTATCTGATCGTCGATCTTCCGGAGACACCCAGGATAGAAAAAGATCAGAGAGTGAAAGGAGGTGTCTACCATCATGGCTGCCACATCGGAAGCCTCTAAAGAGGTAAAAGCACCAGCGAAGCCAAGTGTACGTCCTATTCCTTTCCAGTCATTTGGCTCTGTA